GATTGGTCGGTTCCTGCCTGTCGCAACAAAGTGAGCCAGGAGGCTGAGAGGGTATACTAGATCTGGTCGAGTGCATGTCATCAAGTACATGAGGCACCCCACCAGATCTGCGTATGGACCACTAACCTCGACGGTTAGCCGGAACAGGAGCACAGAGCTTGTGATCCACAAGCAGAGGGTGGGCTATGTTGAGGAGAAGTGGAGACCGAACCTTTGGAGGATCTGCTGCACCATATGAGATTGAGAGAGTGTGATCATGCGAGCGACACATTCACGAGAGATCTCCAAGCCGAGATAGCGCCTCAGCTCCCCGAGGTCTGTACAAGTGTGCCTCCTAAGTAACTCGGCCTTCACTGAGGCCAGTGCAACTCTGTCAAGAGTAGCAAAGATAAGATTTGCTACATACACTAGGATATAGAATGGGGTCGGACAAGTGAGAACAAAGAGAGAGGGGTCAGCAGAGGACGGAAAGAATTGCAGCTTAGCAAGTGTGGTGCAAAGCATATCCTGCCACTCACGGGGCACCTGATGAAGGCCGTACACAGGGTCCTTGGTAGGAAGGACCCAGAGAAGCCTAGAGGGCGCCGGAGGTAGATCTGCTCATGCTGACTATCCTGCAGGAAGGCTGAAGGGAAGTCAAGTGAGTGAAGCTCGTAGTCACATTGTGCGGCTAGGTGAAGGAGCACCCGAAGAGTAGTCAACTTTGGGGTAGGGGAGAAGGTCTGGAAGAAGTCCACACCCTCTCGCTGACTGAAGCCTCTATCCACGTAACGCGTCTTGAACTTCAAGGGCTCTCCTGGTGCGCGCTTAACCTTATAGATCCACATGCCATCGACTACGTTCGCCCTAGGGGGGAACTGCGTAAGTGCCTTCATAGCTTGTATCCACTGGGCTGCCTAGGGCCCCAACACTGCCTCAGCGTAAGAGCGCGGGATAGAGATGTCGAGGGCATCTGATTAACCCTCTGGGGATACAAGCATGGAGCAGAGATGGGGTACAGTGGCAGCAAGGTAGGCCAACTCGTACTGCCTGTCATGTATCACGTCACTGCAAAGGGCAGGCGAACCCTTGACGGACGAAGCACTGGAAGAACCAGAGAGCAGATCGGCAGCATTGTCAAGATGGTGGCTAGCACCGAAGTCAGCGGCAGTAGCGACAAATGCAGAGACAGACTCAGGAGGAGCAGTAGGGTCAATGACAAGCGACGTAAGCAAGCGCGAGAGGATAGGACGAGCAGTACGAGCAGAGTCAGTAGGAGGAGAAGGGGATGACGGGAGCGACGACCGCGGAGGTAACGGGACTGGGACTAAAGGAGCACGCAAACGAAGGACCATAGGGTGGAGACTAGGACATGGAGAGACAGGACAAGCAACAGAGGGACAATGGACCCAGTGGGGAAGAACGGGGGACTGGGGACGAGGGGGAAAGGGGGACAAGACAGGGGACAGAGGAGAGCGCAGGGGAAAACGAGTCAGAGAGGAGTCTGGGGGAGGGAATAGCGGGTCGTAAACAGGGTCAAGCACAGGAGGAGGGACGAGGGGTCAGTCAAGGGAACCTGAGGGCAAACAAACAAGACGTTGGGCAGGCTGCGTCTACTGCGACTGCTGCTCCCTGTCCTCTGCAGGACCTCCAGCTGCACCCCAACTACCACTGGCACTCCCCAAAATAGCGCCCCTAGGTTTAGCACCCCCGGTCGCACCACCCACAGAACTAGCACCCCCAGAGTCAGCACCCCCACAATCCGCGCCCCCAGAACCTGCACCCCCAATGCTAGCACCCCCAGAGCCCACTGCCCTCTACTACTACGGCTGCTAAGTCCGCTGCTGCGGCAAGGGGGGAGGCGGCTGAGGTGTCTGGGGTATCGGGGCTGGGGGAGGTGCCACAGGGACAGCAGGCACACCCCCAGTAGCTGGGCCCACAGAGTCAGCCGACTCCCATACGAGCCTGACCGAGGGGAACGGAGTGGCGTAGGAAACACCATACAGGGCCAGGCGGGGTGGGAGGGGTGTAGCAGGTGGGGCAGGGACGAGTAAGAGAGGAGGAGGAGGGACATGATTGTTGCGGTGAGGGAAGTGCATGTAGTAGGGGAGTGTCTCGTCGAAGGTAACATTACGAGAGTGGTAGAAGTGGTGGTGTGCCGGGTGGTAGAGCAGCCAGTCAAGCGAAAACCCCAAGAAGACACAAGAAAGAGTGCGGGCTGAGAGCTTGTCCGCGCCGGTGGCACGGACGTGAGCACAGCTGCCCTATACATGAAACGCCGACGCGTCACCAGGAGACCCGGTCCAGAGCAGGGTCGGCGAAACCAGTGGCAGTAGAGATTGCGACCACAGGTTAAGCTGGTGAGTTGCGTAATGCACGGTGAATGGTCATAGAAAATGGGGTGCACCCACGCGGACGAAGGAGGTGCGAGCCACCTCCATGACCCGGCCAATGCATCGCTCTACGGCCCCAAACTGATGTGGGGAGTCGGGCAGTATGTACGTCTGGCGGATGCTCTCCGCACTAAAGAACTGTCCTAGACAGCCAGATTCGCACTCGCCACCACGGTCAAAGTGTAACCAAACTACGGGCAAGCGGTGCTGGGAGCAAAGAGCTAACAGCCACAGGAGGAGAACAGTAGGCACTTCGGCCCTCCACTCCACAAGGAACACCATCGTGAAGCGCGAGAAGTCGTCAACGACGACTAGCAGATAGCGCTCCTGGCTAAGACCATGGACCATAGTAGGGCCCCAGACGTCCATGTGCAGTGTCTGTAGCGGCGCTGTGGTAGGAGGAAATGAGGAGGAGTGATGGGCGGCGCGCTGCCAACCCTCGACGCAAGAGGTGTATTGTGGCGCTACCGACGGTGGCAGGGCGAGGAGCGGCGCAGGGATACCAGTGACCAGACCGTGCTGGGACATGTGGTTTAAGATGCGAAAGTGCAGGGTGACTTAAACGGTGGTGCCACAGAAGGGTCGGGTGGGCGAGGGAGCGACAGGAGAAGGACGCGACTACCTCAACAGACGCAACAGCTGCTACGGACTCAGTGTGCAGTGTGAGGAGATCTGACGCTGGGTCAAGCTCAAATGTGGCTAGACGTTTACCTGTAGCTATGTCTGTACAGGCTGCGTGTCCCTCGTAACCAGGGGACGTGTTGGTGACTCCTAGGTCATGGATCTGACCTACACCAACCAAGTTCTTGGCAAATGAGGGCATGTGCAGACCAGTGAGGGAGCCTGAGGGAACAGCTTGACAGGGGAGAGCGGTGGTGCTGTGTGCGACAACTGTGGCTGGAGAGTCAGCTACTGCGACGCGAACGTGTGCAGGAAGAAGGGTGAGAGAAGTACTGTCTCTAAAGAAGCAGTGTGATGTGCCAGAGTCTAGGATAAAGGAGAGGGCCGATGTGGCAGGGCCCAGTGAAGGAGGACTAAGAGAAACTACGCCTGACGTAGCAGGGGCCCTTGCCCCTGGACCTCTCATTCGAGTGTTCGGCACAACTTCAGGCAGGCCACTTACATTTAAGCCGCCATGATACACGACCATACGCAATTGGTGCAAAGAGGCATTTTCTGTGATCGGCCTTCACGAAAACCACATCGGCATACACTCCTTTCGTAAGGGTGCAGCGACCGTTGCTGCCAGCAGGGGCGTCGCGGACCGGCTCTTCAAACGTCTTGGTCGATGACGCAATAACAATGCGAAGGAAATGTATGTCACACCGGCAGCCGACCACCTCGTTGCAGCTTCCCGTGGCGTACAGGCCCTAGCGGAGGCGTTGTCACATGCACAACATTCTCGAGCTCTGGCACGTCATTGACGCCCGTGCCTGTCCATGTCTCAGTCTAGCCCAGTGAAATGAGAACAATGCCAATTGCACAAACAAGAAAGCGAGCTTTCTCAATATGACTATTTTTAAGCGTTTACGCTTTCAAAATTGCGTATTGTGAATGCGAAACTGCTTGTAATGCAATCTTTGGCATCATCGAAGTACGCTATTCGCCCTTCTCCAACTACAAAATGGGGTTGGAGGTCATTCTTCCTCCACCTACATTATTCTTTTTTTCACAGCTCAGGTTCAATTCCCGCCAGGCCCCTAGATTGGTTTTTAGGAGCCCTGATCGCTCAGGATCCCCCCCGAGTTTTTCTCTGATTTTTCAGGGTTGGTCCCAAAAAAATTCCTCGTGAATCAGGACTCCTAAATATTTTTTTCCTAAGCAGACAGAGTTACTTATGGAGTTTTTCCTGATTTCTTAGAGGTTCTTAGCGCATGCTTTAGTAGCGAATTTATGCTTGCAGGGTGAACCGGGTCTGGTGGGCGAGATTGCAGGGGCTGAGGGAAATTTCGCCCATACAAAGCTCTAAGGAACACATCGGGCCCAAAATTTGGCTAAGGACCAAGTGCCCTCCCTCACACTGCCCCCACGCGTCGAGCCACGAATTTGGTGAAGGGCCAATAAGCGCCCTCACAGAGCCTGGAGGGCGGGCCAGAACCTCGGAAATCTCTGCTGGCCCCCAGGTCACGCATGGACGGAAACAAGTACAGTTTCGTTGCAAAGCTGAAATTTCAGGATTCGTTAAGAAAACTTTGCTTAGCAATCAGAGTTGACCCCCCAAAAAATGCTGAAAAAACAGGAAATGCCTTTCGAAAAATCCTGGACAATCAGGACTGGTACCAGCAACAACTCTGTTATTTTCCTGAATCAGGAAAAAATTCCTGCAATCTAGGGGCCTGATTCCCGCCCACCCAACCCTTCTCATCCAACTGCGATGCTTCGGCGGATCGCCATCAGAGCACGCACTGCCTTCCTAGTATAGTGATCTAGGTTGATGTATGGATATATTGGGAACTCTTTTGTACTTGATGCGAGTGAAATGAGAACGATGCCAACCAATTGCACAATCAAGAAAGTGAGCTTTCTCAATCAATACACCACACCACCTCTGAATGTGGATGGAGGCTTTAACGAACCACCAAAACCCAAACACCTGGAGACTTGACCCACCAAACAGATATTCCTGCCACACCAACAGCACCACCACAGCCAGCATCTGATTACTCCCTGTGCGCAATGGAGCCAGCGGGGTGGCAGCAGCGTCTGCCGTTCTGCGAGCGGCTGCCCAAGGTGGAGCTGCACGCGCACCTCAACGGCTCCATCCGCGACTCCACCATCAGGTGCCGCTCGCCCTCCCACCACCCTGCACTCGCGCCGCCCCGCTCTCGGCCCTTTCCGCACTCGCCCCTCCAACTCCGCCCCGCCCGTCCTGGTCTGCGCAACCTCCCCTTCGCGTCTCCCCCACCTCCCGAGTGCCCGCCCTCCCGTTCCAGCCCACGTACGTCGCTCGCGCAGCCCTCCCCCCTCCCCCCCCCCCCGTCCCGTGCGCGAAGAGGTCACTGCTCCCCGCGGAAGCGCCGGAACTGCTCGCGCTCCGCGCGTCACACGGCTTTCGTGGCGTCGTCCGTCGCCACACCCCTCCCACTCATTTTATTCTTTAAAACATGTGAGGTGCATGCATGGTGGTGTGCGGCCCCATGGGTATGCATGGTGCGTGGGGTGTGCGTGGCATGCGCGGTCCATGAGCAGGGAGCTAGCGGAGAAGCGGCAAGCAGAGGCCCCCCTGGTGGCAGAGGACGCACTCCGACTCACTAATAAAGGTCGCCTCATTGCCCCTACCTCCCAATTCCTGTCTTTCCGCTCCTCCCACCTGCCATACTCCTTCCTGCATGCGCAACGCAGCCATGCGCTCCACGCATCATGGCACTGCCACCCGTCTCATTCCAACGCACCTTGTCCCACCAGGTCCACCGCCTCATACCATTATAGTGACATAGCACCACCACCACGTCAGCCTCGCCCTCCCCACCCCGCATGGCACGTGAGCAGGGCAGCGCAGTCTAGCGGAGTGCTTCAAGCTGTTTGCAGTTATTCACAGCCTCACCACGGACCACACCACCATCACCCGCATCACACACGAGGTGACGTCACTGCACGCTCGCACTGAGCTGAGTGTACCTTGCATGTGGCACGCGCTGAGAGCACATGGCATGTGGCGAGTGTCGCATCGAGTATTGCACGTGCACTCTTGGCAGCGGAAGCTCAATGGTGACAATCTGCCACTGGTTGCTGGACACCTTGAGCTTCCGCTGGCAGATTGTGACTCTCGCAATGGTGACAATCTCTCTGTTTGTCACTTCCACCTTCACACCTTGCCATCCCATGCCATGCGGCTGCACACTCGTTAACTGTTGCGCCATGCTAGGCCAACTTGCTCCTGTCAGTCTAGCGTTCACTCTATGCTTCCCTCCCATGCTTCGGTGCATGCATGCACATGACTCGTCATTGGATGGCATGGCATGGCATCCCATGCGGCATCAGGTGGTGGAGGACTTTGCAGCTGACAACGTGTGCTACCTGGAGCTGCGCACCACGCCCAAGGTGCTCCCCACACGCCCATCTCGCCCTCTCGCTCCATTAGACACAGCTACTGGGTGCTCCAGCAGTGCGCACTAGGTTGGCCAATGGCCACCACAGGTCATGCATTTGGCCGATACAGGTGTGAGGAGGGCGCCTAATCCTCCATTGCACTGACTGCACAAGGTTCCTGTCCCAAGGGGCTGGATGCCAGATAGGGGCAGGTGTACAGAAAAGGCAAGGGGTGCAGTTGGCTTGGAGGGGCGAGAAGTGAGGGACACTACGGGGTAGTGTTAGGTTGTGTACCTCTTGAAACCCTGGCTGCTTATCAACAAGGGTTCACTGCTATTTCTATCTACATGTGCGCTGTGGCCGATGATGCGTCTGATTGGCTGCAGCATGCTCTTTTCTGAATGCACGTCGGGAATGAGTGCCTCTGGTGCTGGTGATGTACACTTGGGATGCCTCTTATGACTTTTGCCATCAGCCATCTCCCGTACGCTATTTCCCTTATGCCAGCTCCCCTCACATGGACCACATCCATGCAATCATCATCTGTCGTCTTCCCCTACTTCACTCCCCCCTCGCCGCTCCTCCTCCACCCTCGATCGACCCTGCTCCCGTCATTGCATGCCTCTCTTCATCCACTCTCTACCCCTCCCTTCGCCTCCCTCCCACTGCCCACCCTTCGCCTCCTGCCCACCCGTTGCACCCCTCAGAGCAACCCCGGTGCGGGCATGTCGAAGCAGTCGTACATTGAGGCCGTGCTGGCAGGGCTGCTGCCCTTCATGCGCGCCGAGACCGCATGGCTCGACGCCCGCAACAAGCACCAAGGTGGGGGCATGCCGCTGCGTTGAAATCCAGTCAGCATGGTAAGGTTGCTGCTGTATCGTTGAAATTTTGCTACTGTAATCGTAATGAGGCTGCTGCTGTGATCCTTGGTGTTGTGCACACCGCCAGCATGAGCATGGCCATCACGGTCATGCTCCTCCCCATAGTCATTCCCATCATGCTCTAGCAGCAGACAGAGATGCACCACCATGCCTCTGTTGCCTGCTGCCACATGCTGCTGGCCGTTTCATCTTCAGATTCAAATGATTGTGTTCCGGCACGTGTTCATTGTGCTAAACGACAGGTAAACGTGTTAGAAGGCATCAGCTGACGGTTTAGATGCAAGCAAACATGAGTAGAGCTGATTTTGGCACCCACGCTCTCCGTTTATTCTCGTTGCTTATGCATGCCTCTGAAAGCTTTCAAACCCATTGCCTACACCGTGCCCATGTGCATGCCCAGGTCCCCCCAGCAGCGCTGCATCAGGCATGCCCATTGTGGTGCGCTTGGTGCTGTCCATCGACCGGAGGGAGAGCACTCAGGGTGCGCTGGACACGGTGAGCCATGTATCTTGCCCTGCATGCCTCGCCACGCCATACCGTGCCCTCCACCACCATACCGTTCCCTCCACCTCCATGCCGTGCCCGCCAGGCCATTCCCGCCATACCATGCCCGCCCGCCATGCTGCTCCCGCCATGCCGGGCCGTGTCATCCAATGCCAGGGCATGTTGCAATGCTACTGCATGGCTCTTTGCCAGCATTGCAACTGCGCATCCTCCCTTTACCCTGCGCATCCCCAGGTTCGTCTGGCAGTGCAACTGCGCTCTCAGGGAGTGGTAGGCATTGATCTGTCCGGCAACCCCTCCATCGGCCAATGGTGACTCCACTCTGGCCCTCTTTCCTTTACATTACATACATTTGCGAGCAGCCGCAGAAAGCATGTGATTACAGTGAGGAGAGAGCTCTCTAGAGCATTTGGGCAGGACAGCACATGGTTTGGCATTGAAGGGAGGGAGTGGTTCGCAAGCAACTGGCTTGTGGGATTGGATCCCCTGTCTTGCAATGCAGCAAATGCCCCCTCGTTCTCACCCCTCCGTGCCATGCTGTGCCGGCCATGGCAGGTCCACTTACCTCCCTGCTCTCCAGCTTGCTCGCTCTCACGGCCTTCCCATCACCGTCCACTTTGCAGAGGTGCCGTGGCCCCAGCCGGCAGAGATTACGCAGCTCCTTGCAGCTCCTTCCACCCACACGCATCTCCTTCCACCAGTGCTCCTCCTCACAAGATGCTCTGCATATGTTCCATTTGCTCTGAGGTTGTACCACGCCTCTCAATCCAACACCCCTCAACACCCTCAACCCCCTCCTTCTCTCCCCTCTCCCCCTCCCCCCTCCCCCCTCCCCCCTCCCTGCCTCTCACCCCTGCAGGTGCCCAACGAGAGTGAGTCGCAAGCAGTGCTGGACTTTGCACCGGACCGACTAGGCCACGCCTGCTGCCTCCCCACCCACCTCTCTCAAGCCCTGCTGCAATCTCGTATTCCGGTACTACTCGTCGCTGCCCTCCCGCCCTTTCCTTGCCCCCATCGATGCGCCCGCTTTTCATGCGCCTGCTGCACACTTCTGAGGCATCCCGTTCCTCGTCCTTTCGGTCACCCCTGACTTTCGATCCGTCCCCTGCAAGTGCTGTCCTTGACCACCTCTTCTGTTCTTCCTTCTCCCCAATCATATGTCACCATCCGCAGCAAGGTCAGGCCAGCCAACGCCTGGCCTTGCTGTGGAGGTGCGCACATGACCCTCACCTTCTCTCCCACCAACTCTACTGCCTGCACCTCCTGCGCAACCCCTGCGCATTCCTTGGCACCCGGCCAGGTGGAGCTGTGCCTCACTTCTAATGTGCGCACGGAGAGTGTCACGGCTTATGGCAACCACCACTTCGGTGAGTGAGCGCACATCCCCTCCTGTGTGCTTGAGGTGCTACTGTAGCTGCGCCTCTGTACGGCATCACTTCTTCTTTCCCTGCTGTGCCTCGTCGTTAACCATTCCTAGATTCTGAGATCCTGCTTGTGTCCTGCATGTAACTGTGCACACACGGTCTGCACTCTGCTTGCATCTGGCATCTGCCATCCTTTCTCCCATGTCATGCGCAAACCCCCCTTGCCATGCCCTCCGCTGCCCTTCAGACTACCTGTACCGCGCATCTCACCCTGTTGCCATCTGCACTGACGACTCGGGCGTATTCAGCACCACTCTCTCGCGTGAATATGCACTCGCTGCAGCTGCGTTCAGTATGCTCTTTCCCTACTCTGAAGCTACTACCTACCCTCCCTCTCTCCTTCCACCCTTCCTCTCTTGATCTCTCCGCGCTCTTTTCCTCTCTTTAGGTATCCCTTCTGTATCTTTACCCTCCCCCTTCTTTCCCGCCCACTCCCCGTTAGCCTGTCTCAACCTGTCAACGTGCTTTTAAATCACTGTGTCTGTGCCGACTGTTTCTTCCTTCCGCTAGCCTGCTATCTCCATGTGTCTTCTCCACTCTCCAGACATAGCATCTTCTTAGCATCGAGCATTTCATGGGTTAAATTCATTCACCAAACAAGGTACGATAACAAGTGTACCTTGCTTTTCCATTCCATCCCCCAATCTCTCCAGACCTAAGTGATGACCACCTCATGGAGCTTGCACACAATTCTATTGACTTTGCCTTCTTGCCTTGTGAAGCCAGAAAACTACTGTGTTGTATTTTCCAAGAGCAGCTCACCCATCTTTCAAACATGCAATCTGTGTTAGAATACTAGAATAATTTGAAACAAGAGAGAACAAGGGAGATATAGTATTGGGGTTGTACCCTCTAAGAGCATACACCTATCTAGCAGGGCCTCAGATTGGTTTTGAGGTACCCTGATTGCTCAGGGTCCCCCCCCCATGTTTACCCTGATTTTTCAGGGCTCCAAAAAAAAATTCCGCTGAGTAATCAGGGTTTCTTCAAAATTTTACGGTGATTTGACGAAATTGGGAGATGGGTGGATCGACATTCGGGGAGGGCACAGACGGGACGGAATGGGGGTGGGGGGGGAGGGAGGGAGGATTCCCGTGGGAATTATGATGATGCTGAGCCCATCAAATTTTGCGGTTACACTTTCAGGAAGCCTCAGCCAATCATATTTTGCCGAACGACCCAATCGGATAGCAGAGCAAAATTGCAGGGGCGGGAGGAAATCTCGCCCTCACAAAGCCGCAAGGCACACATTTGACCCTGAATGTGGCGAAGGGTAAAAAATTCCCCTCACAAATCCCCCAGCACACGCTAGCCCTAAAATTGGCTAAGGGCCAAGTGCCCTCACACAACCCCCCAGCACACATGGAGCAGGGGAAACATACAGTCATTATGGCCGGGCCCCAAATCACGCTCTTACAGGATTCGGGGTAGCTGCCCGTTAGGCAGATGATACAGGTGTTAACGTAGAAACGAATGAATTACTAGGAAGAGAAACATAGAACAAATACCAGTTGGTTGTACTCACTAGAAGCACACACCTAGTCTAGCCTATAACTTCTACATAGATAATTGTCAACTTATACATATTATCTATGTAGAAGTTATAGGCTAGACTGAGGTATGCTTCTAGTGAGTACAACCAACTAGTATTTGTTCTAGGTTTCCACCTCTAGTAATCATTCGTTTCTACGTTAACATGGTATCACGCTTAGGTTAGGATCCCCCCGCCTACCGCTTCCGCCCGTCGCGCCTCCTAGGCCCCGTCGCGCCCCCTAGGCCCCGTCGCGCCCCCCCTGGGCCCCGTCGCGCTCGTTAGGCCCCGTCGCGCCCCCCCTGGGCCCCGTCGTGCCCGCTGGGCCCCGTCGCGCCTCCTAGGCCCCGTCGCGCTCCCCCTAGGCCCCGTCGCGCCCGCTGGGTCCCGTCGCGACACCTAGGCCCTAACGCGCCCCCGCTGGGCCCCGTTGCGCCTCCTAGGCCCCGTCGCGCCCCCCATGGGCCCCATCGAGCCCGCTGAGCCCCGTCGTGCCTCCTAGGCATCGTCGCGCCTCCTAAGCCCCGTCGCGCCCGTTCGGCCCCGTCGCGCCCCTCCTAGGCCCCGTCGCGCCCGCTGGGCCCCTTCGCGCTTCCTAGGCCCCGTCGCGCCTGCTAGGCCCCGTCGCGCCCCCCCTGGGCCCCGTCGCGCCCGTTAGGCCCCGTCGCGGCCCCCCTGGGCCCCGTCGTGCCCGCTGGTCCCCGTCGCGCCTCCTCGGCCCCGTCGCGCCCCCCCTGGGCCCCGTCGTGCCCGCTGGGCCCCGTCGCGCCCCTTAGGCCCCGTCGCGCCCGCTGGCCCCTGTCGCGCCTGCTGTTAGCGCTCGCCCGCCTGGCCTCCTCCTAGTGCCGCTCGGCCTCCTCCTAGTGCCGCCCGGCCTCCTCCTAGTGCCGCCCGGCCCCTTCCTAGCGCCGCCCGGCCTCTCCTCAGCGCTGCCCGGCCCCTCCTCGTGCCCGACCGGCCCCAGCAGCACCAGCCTGGCCCCTCCCAGCACCAGCCCGGCCCCAGAGCACCTGCCCGCCTCCCCTGCTCGGCCTGCCGTGTCCTCTCGGGCCCTGTGTCTTCTGCTTGCCTGCGCTGGGACGCCTAGCTGCTGCCCTACTGGAGAGTGCTGCCGCCGTGTCCCCGCGCCGCTGTGCTCCTGTGCCGCTGAGGAGCTGTGCTGCTGTGCCGCTGTGTCACTGAGGAGCTGTGCCGCTGACCCTGCACGATGGCTGACTTTGTGCTCCGCCTGGACGCTGAGGGCCACGCGGTTGACTTCGCCGCCTGGCTCTCCGATCTTCGCCGCCAGCTTACAGGTCAGCGCCAGGATGGCCACTCTCTGGTTGTCCATGCTGATGGCTTGCTCCCCCGTCCCCCTGCACCTACTCCCCTCCCTGCTGACCCCTCCTCTGATGACCGTGAGGCTTTCTCTACTGCTGCGCTGGCCTGTGCGATCTGGGACTCACGCGATGCAGTAGCTCAGGTTGCTATTAGTCACACCCTCCCTGTGTCTGAGCGCTCGTGTTTTGCTACTGTTGAAACGGCCAAAGCTTATTTAGACGCCGTTATTGCTCGCTATTCCACCCCTGCCTCCGCTTCTGCTGGCCGCTTGCTCTTTCCGATGCTGTTCCCAGACCTGGCTGCCTTCCCTACTGTCGCAGATTTTGCCACTCATTTGCGTGCCCTAGAGACTCGCTATCGCACTGCCAGCACTGCTGCCCAGCTCACTGCGCTCCCCCCTCCTTTCTGCATGACGCTCTATTTTATCGCTATGCGCCTGCCAGACCGCCTCGCTAGTGCTCGCGACCACTTTCTTAGCCAGCACCCGGGTGACCTCACCCTGACCGCCTTTGTCGACACCCTCACTGAGATCGAGACTCGCCAGCGCACTATCGCTCAGTCGAGCGGTACGCCGCCAGTCTCTATCTTTCACGGCTGTGCCCATCCCCGTGCACGTTCACTGACGTTTCGGCTGCGGTCGCCACGGCGACCCCTCTTACCGAGACGGCTGCTGCTGTCCACCCGCAGCAGCGCTCGCGTCGCGGTGGCCGTGGCCGCCAGGGAGGTAGGGGTGGTGACGCAGGTGGTAGTGGTCGTGGTGGTGGTGACGGTAGTCCGCCTGAGGGGACTACCATCGGTGGGCAGGAGCAGCAGTCCCAGCAGCAGCACGACCAGCCCCAGCCGCAGCCGCCGTCCCAGCAGCACCCGCCGCAGCCGTGGGCTCGTCTCCCGCCTGGTTGGCCCGGCACCTCCGGAGGCGGTGGCCGTGGTGGCGGCCCGCGCAGCTTGGCGTCTACCAGCGGCTCCAGTGCTGTGACCTGCCAGTACCAGCTTCAGACCGGGCCTCTCCGCGGCACTCTGTGCCGCCGCCCGCACCTGACCGCCCGCTGTTTCCGCCGCCTCGACGATCTTTTTCGTCGTCGCTTTGGCCCGGCCCCGGACCTCCCTGACTGGCACAGCCTGCTCCGCCAGGGCGTGCCGATCTTTGAGTTAGACATGGATCAGATAGGTGCTGCTTTGCATGCTTTGTATGCTGACGCTTCTAGTGTTGATGGATCTTACTACCCTGTGTACTCTAGTTTAGGTGTTTCACCCTTGTGTAGCTTAGCTTCCCCTGCTGCGACAGGCGTAGGACTGCCTAGGTTGCCTAGTCTAGTCGCTGCACCGGCTCCGTCCCCGGCCCCCGCCACTGCGTCGCTGTCCTTCACTCTCGACTCTGGTGCTTCTGCCTGCTTCTTCCGCGACCGTTCCACGCTCACGCCGCTTGCTGCACCTGCTGTTGTCTCTCTCGCTGACCCCTCTGCGGGTCCGGTCGTCGCGCGCAGTTCTACGTCCCTTCCCTGTCCGGCAGTTCCCTCGGGCTCCCTTACTGGCCTCCACGTTCCCTCGTTCTCCAGGAACCTGGTTGGTGTCGGCTGTCTCCAGGACCTCGGCGTCACCACCACGTTCCCCGGGCACGAGCGGTTCGCTGTCTGTTCTGAGGCTGTCTCAGGTTCCCCCCTTGCGACGTTCCCCCGGGACCCGGTGTCCGGTCTGTTTACCCTACACACCGCTTCCCCCCGGTTGGTGCGTCCTCCCAGGTCGCTGCAGCTTGCTCGTGTCGGTCCCTCACTCACCCCTCCCTTCTCTGGCACCACCGCTTAGGTCACCCTGCTCTCCCGCGTCTGCGTCACATGTCCCAGCACGGTCTTGTCTTAGGTCTCCCCGCGTCGCTCCCTGCCCTTCCTCCCTCGACTGCGCCACCGTGCACGCCTTGCGTCGAGGGTCGGCTCCGCCGTGCTCCTCACTCCTCCTCGCTGCGTCCTGCTACTGCCCCCCTTCAGACCCTGCACTTGGACGTTTGGGGCCCTGCCCCTGTCCCCGGACCGCGCGGTGAGCGTTACTTCCTTGTGCTTGTCGACGACTACACGCGCTACACCACGGTGTTTCCCCTGGAGCGGAAGGCCGACGTGCCCGACGTTCTTCTCCCGTGGGTTGTGGCTGCGCGTCTCCACCGCGGTCTCCCCGTGTTGTGTCTCCACTCCGACCGTGGCGGCGAGTTCGCCTCTGGTCGGCTTGGACAGTTCTGTCGTGCGGAGGGCATCACCCAGTCGTACACGTTGCCGGACTCGCCACAGCAGAATGGGGTTGCTGAGCGCCGCATCGGCTTGGTCATGGAGGTCGCCCGTACCTCCATGATCCATGCCGATGCCCCCATTTTCTGTGGCCGTTCGCTGTTCGCTACGCGGCTCACCAGCTTAACCTGTGGCCACGCTCCCAGCGGCCGCAGGTTTCGCCGACCCTCCTTTGGACCGGGTCCCCCGGTGACGCGTCTGCGTTCCACGTCTGGGGCTGCCTTGCTCACGTTCGTGCCTCTGGCACGGACAAGCTCACTGCCCGCACTGTCCCCTGTGTCTTCCTCGGTTTCCCCCTGGACTCGTCTGACTGGCTTTTCTACCACCCGCCGTCTCACCGCTTCCTCCACTCTCGTGACGTCACCTTTGATGAGTCCGTCTCCTTCTACCGCCGCTTCCCTCACCGAGGTCTCCCAGTTGCCCCCCCCTTTTCCTTGCTCCCTCTCCCCCGGTAGCCCCTGCCCCTCTCCCGCCTCGTCCTGCCCCGTCTGGTGTCTCCCACGTCACTCCCCTCCCGTCGGTTGTCCCCGTTGAGGAGTCTGCTGACTCTGGTGGTACCCCCGGTCCGTCCTTGCCGCGTCCCCCTTCCCCGGTGCCTCCGCCCCCACTGTCGCAGTCGCCGACCCCGCTGCCGCCGCCGTCGCCGTCGCCGCCGCAGCCGTCGCCGCTTTCGTCGCCGCCGCCGCCGCTGTCGCTGCCGCAGCCGTCGCCGCTGTCGCCGCCGCCGCAGCCGTTGCCGCCACTGCCGCCGCTGCTCTCGGCCCCTGGGGGTGCCGCTGGTGTTGGAGGGGGTTCTCGCTCTGGGGGTGTTGGTTCTGGGGGTGCTGCTGTTGAGTGTTCTGCCGACGG